TATTCCTGTGACCAGTGAGCCAAAAAGAGGATTTTTATGATCTCAAAGTTTTCAGATCACAATATTTTTCTGGATCAGATTGTGCCCAGGATGGACTAAATATTCAAAGGATTTGGGTACCAGATTCTAAAGCATACCTTTACAGAGTACTATATGCAGTACCCTACTGGTTTTATTTTCAGAAGGTTACCAGTTGGTCAGCTCAAGATTACCTTGGGGATAACAGAAGGCACTTGCTTGACACAAAGGATATCTGCCAGATTTCTGTTTGCAAAGCCAAACAAGAGGGCATGAGATGCATTCAAAGAGGCAGTCACCAGAGATCTTTAACAAGGGGAAAATAAGCTATGTTTCCCTAGCCTGTTCTTTCAAAAATTCCTGAACAGTCTTGTCCGACATTTTCCAAAAGCAGATATCAAAGGTGGATATCACATATGGAATATATTTTAGGTCATAAACTCAAAAGACCAGCAAAGTTATAAGCAGATGACTCTCTCTTTCAGTGAAAGGCACAAGAAAATCCTAAAAATAGGCAATGCAACCAGCTTACCTGAGTGAAAGCAAACAAAACAGGAGTTTGTGAAACATGAGCTTGCAATCCAAGGTTTCCCTGTAAGGCAAAGGCATTTTCATCCCAGTGTGCTGAGCCCAAGGAACATGCCACAGAGTAGGGATGCTTGCACAGCCCTAATACTGCCTGCACAGCAATTCAGCCCACTCTCTTAAGTGTTCTGTAACATGGATAGGCCTTGAGCTTTACCTGCAGTGGGAATTTAGCCTGTATAAAATGTGTCTGGATAATTGTTCTGGAATGAAGATTTGCCCTTTGGTAAACATTCCGAACTAAGCAAGTCTCTTGATGTTGTTGTTCAAAATGTCCATGTTAAAGCCTGGACATGCTACTCCCAGACTTAGTTTTTAGCTCAGCCAAAATTAGAAGCCAAAAGTTAGGGCCAAACTGAGTTTTTTGCATAACCTGCAGAGGTATTCTCACAGAGGAGGTTTCTGTAGTAAGATGCTAACTGACAGCACTTTCAGTTGAACTTCATTTTGAGGGTTCAGAGAATAGCTATAGAAGTAAGGAAAGCTGAAAAGATAAGGTGGGGTTTTTTTAGTAAGAGATTCCAGATGCCACTTTATACAAGCTAATAAAGAGAAGATGAAGGACTTGATCAGGGTCTCAAAGTACCAACACAACAAGGATAGCTAGGCTTTTCAAGGTAACATGTGGCTACCAAATTGAAGCTAAACAAAAATCAGTATAGAAATGTAGTGATGTTTCCTGAACAATTAAAGTTATTAGCCTTAGAAATAGAAAAGCTGTCAAGGATCCCTTCTCACGGGTACCTGTCAAGCCTAGATAATGTCCTGAAAGATACTTTGAAATTCAAAATTATTTCAGGGTGGAATAAAGCAGAATCCAAACCCCTCAACTTCCAGGATTTTAGTTACAACTTCCCATCATTGCTCACCACAGCTGTTGGTAAATGTTAAAGGTGTAGATGTATTTTGGCTCCACAGGTGCTTTAATCTTGGTTTTGCTCAACCTTGTGCTGAATAGGGCTATACAAACTAGCTCACTTATCTACTGGTACCAGATCCGTACTGCATCTCTAAAATGGAGCTGGATGACATATATTTGAATCCACTAAATAAAATGTACAAATCTAGGCTTAACATTACTCTTGTGACAAAAACCAGCCAAATTTTCTATTTCCTTGCTTAAACATCAGCAGACAGTTGGGAAGTGTGATGGACAGGGCCCCTCCTCTGGAGCTAATAGCATTAACCTTCTCCCTGTTCCCAAGGCACATTACACCCAGTAGTTTCAAGATGGTTTTTATTCGATTTGATTTTGTTTTTACGGCAGATGGGGATTCTTCATCACTGTGTGACATACATAGGCTTAAAAGTTAAGAATTACTTATTGCTTAAGCTGACACAATGAATTAGCTGCCAAATTGAGAACGACAACCAAATATGATGAATAACTGTCACATGTTGCTGGAAGCAGGGTAAGCAGCCTTTCTGAGTGGGGGAGAGGTAATCACCAGGTGCTGTATTACAATGACAGCAAGACCTGCAGGGAATGGGCAACTGTAGTTTGCCTCTGTAAGTAACGAGCACCCTTCTAATCACCAGAGAGTTACTAGAGCTGGTGCTGTGTAGGATCAAGCCCATTCAGTTTCAAGAAAGCAGGAGGATGATCTGGATAAACTTCTAGATTTGGTTTCTCTGAGTGAGCTCTGTTCCTCAGCGGGATTCACCGGGGGCCTATTATGAAATTAGAAGGAGTGTGAAAAGGTGTTTGATGTGGTAAAGAAACACTCCCAGCCAGAGTTACACGTCTGTTTAGGAAAACAACACATTTTCAAAACAATTTTCCCCTGACTGAATTAGGTAAGAAGTACAAAAATTCCATGTCTCCTCCATTTCTGAAAGCTGAATTACTAACAGCCTCAATATTTTTGTTGGATCACAGTAGATTAAGATCATTTCAGGCCACCAAGAACGGGAAGCACGCATGTCTAAATATTTATAAGGGAGATACTCCCTTCAGGTTCATTTCCAACAGCTGCTTCCAACACTGGCTCTCCAAGTGGCCAACTCTTCCAGCAGAACTGCTTCCTGCACATCCATCTGCTCTGTTTGTTCAGATAAACACACGTCTCTCCTGCTGGCCATGTGGTGCTGACTTCTCCCCGCCACGTGCACAGTTAGCGGGAATGCCCTGCAGAAGCTTTACTGTGAGTATGAGTCACAGAAGGAACCCAGCTGGATATCTGGAAATCCATTTGGGTTTATGAAATAGCAGGATGTGGGAGAGTTTTTCTTCTCTTTTCAATGAATACGTGAAGCAAGTACAGTATGGAATTACTGAGTTAATATACGTGAATAGACCACCTGCCATTTTTCCCAGAGTCATTTCTGTGACTCTCACTGGAAATACCAAGTAGCAAATGAACAGAGAAACTAAAATCCACCCCCTAGCTGCTCTGAAAGGCAGAACGTGAAAAGCTGGCTCAGATTGGCAGTGTGCAGAAAGCTACTGCCACTGCTGTACATGTTACTGGCCAGCAGATAAACAAAGCAATCCTGTTTCTAGGGCAGTGAAGCCAGCAGTAAATTTACACAGCCATCTTTTCAATAGCTTTAAAAAATAAAGAAAAACAAGGCACAGTCATTTCAAGCTCCATTAGAAACAGAGTGAGAAAAATCAATGTGTGACAAATCGGAAGGGACAAACTCTGGATAAGGAAATGCCACTAAGGTTTTAGAAATATATGTGTTTTTTAACTGGCAATCAAATACAAATCAGAATCTTTCAAAATACCTATGCACATAATGGCAGGAGCTGTTAGAATATATTGACATTCCATTATTAAAGCAAATGGGACACAGCTCTTGTTAGTAATGGCTCTGTCATTAAACAACGTACCTGCAGTGGAACTACTTCTGCAGTCCTTGTTAAATTAGTCTCTAGCGTCAGTGCTCTGGTGGTAGAAGCCTGTTTATGATTGTTCCCAGTAAGCTGTTTAAGTTTTGAAGGTGTACCTTGGGTTAGAAATGTATTTTGTCCACATTAAGCGATCGTGGATTTGGACTAATTTAGGTTGGAAGGAATCTCTGGAAGTCATCTAGCCAGCCTCCTTCTCATGAAGTAAAGTGTGATAACAGAAAGGGTTGTGGGGCTTACTCTAGGGGTATGGAGAAAGGGGATGAAGGAGTGCATCACATTTCTGACCCAGCATCATATCCTCTCAGCTGCAGTTACCATGCAAGAAATTAAGTCTGGCTGTTCATTGGTGACACCTGACCTGTGATGACTTGGATTTTCAGGAGCACTGAGTCTCCTTGCCAGAGACACACTGAGTAACACCACCTGCCATGGGAAATTTCTCCCCATGCCCTGGCACTTGACACTGCCAGCCTCTGAACTGATCCTTGCAGTGGCATTCTGCCTTCCTTCCCCAAACTGTGTCATTCTCAAAGTTGCCTTGGATTGCAGCACTAGATGGGCTTGTGTTGCAGCTCCCTGGAACTGTGACTGCACCATTCCTGTTTTTGTCAGTGTTCCCCAAGCCATTCTTAATGCTCAGGTCACCTGTATGAGGTTTGCCCCACTGGAGTGGGCACTACAGAAAACCATGAGCACGGCTGCAAAGCGTGCTCAGGGATCTTCTTTCCTCTTTATTTCACTCCTAGTTGTAGGAAACTCACAACGGGCACTTTCTTCAGCTCCTAGACATTTATGCAACAACTGTCCTTCAGCACACAGAACCCTCAGCATGTTGTTTATTTACTGTTTGCCTTTTCCTTTAGGAAGTCGGCAAAACTCATCTCTGGGAATGAACTTGTGTTGCAATGCTTAGCAGAAAGCAGGTAGCATAGCACATTTGTTCCCTGTACTACAGCTCCAGGTGTCTCTGGTTTGCTGACAGCACATTCCAGCAGGGCAGAACCCCTTGTCGTTTCCTACAGCAAAACTTTGTACAGGATCTCATGGATAAAAGGCAATTACATATTATTTTTAAACCTAAGAGCCTAGGATTAAGCCAAATACGAAATCTGATCCAATTTATCCCCTTTTTCCTTGTCGGATAACTGTTAGTCTGTCTTTTTGTACTTTTCAGAGCTCTAGCGCTCAGTCCGGGGAGCGATTTCACTAATGAAGCCAGCCACTGCCACGAGACTGTGTGGCATTCCAGAGCTGTGGAGGGGTGTTTATGTTCTCCCTCTCTCCCCCGGTGTTTCACGTGCCTATGTCTCCCGGGAGTAAACACAATCCCTTTGCTTTGCAATACCAAAAATAGAAGCATTGGTATTTAAATTGCGAACAATCGGGTTTGGCAAACAATCCCTTTCTGAATCACGGGGCTGAGTCATTTCCCTCACCTAAGCCGCTCTCCCGTGCACATTGCAAGAGCAGGGGAAACTCCAGCACTAATGGTTTCCTGCCTGTCTGTCTGTCTGTCTGCCGTCCTCCCCATGCCCTGCAGCCTGCCTGCTCCAGGCCGAGCTGGTGAATTACGAGCGGGTCAAGGAGTACTGCCTCAAAGTGCTGCAGAAGGAAGGTGAGAACTTCAAGGCGCTCTATCGATCGGGAGTGGCATTTTACCACCTGGGTGACTTCAACAAGGCCCTCTACTACCTGAAAGAAGCAAGATCCCGCCAGCCGACAGGTATGGGGAAGGGAGCAGGGATGTGGCTTTGCACTGAGTGCTTTTGTATTTCTTTCCATGAGATGTCATTTGTCCCTGACTTGATTGCATTGATTTCCACAGGAATGAGCATGTATGACTCACTGTATGTCCTTGCCTGGACTCCCCTTCAAGCACTCGTGGGTAGTGCAGCAAGGTCACAGTGCCCAAAGATTAACTGCTGCCAAGGCTGCAGCATGACCTGGAAGAAGACGGTATTGCTGTAATGCTGAGGTGTGGAGGGGATCCTGCCTCTCTTTTCCTCACTAACTTATTTTTGAAGAAGAAAGCAGGGCAGGGAAAGAGTGTACCCCAACCATTACATTTTCTGACTCTCTGAGAAAAAGCTTTTTCCCCTTAGCAATGCCAGGAGACTATTTGTTATCCTCAGTAGCCTTCTGCCATCTCAATAAAGGGTTAGTATTCTACTTTGATCAAAGAGTCAGACATTTACCCACAAAGCATTCATCAGGATGGTTCAGCTTCTGCCATGAAATGAGCCAATTCCTTGTTAAGTATCTGTCATCCATCTGTCAAAACCATACAGTTCATTTGGGGACAGCAATGAAATTATACATCCAAACAACTGAGCCTTGCCAGAGGAACCATCTCCATGCTAACCTGCCCAGCCTCAGAAGGTGGGTGAAAGGCCAGAGATGAGGGTGAGGCAGAGATCATGCTTTCATTTTTCAGAAATCATAGGGAGATAAAACAACACTGTGGTTTTAAATGGAAAGGAATTTTGTAGAACTCAAAATTAAAGAATTTCAAGAAATTAAAATGGAAGCCATGTGCAAAGAAAATCCTACAGAGCAGCTCTTCATATGAATCTGAGAGGAGAACTGGATGGGAAAGAGAGGCAAGCCTGGGTCCTGGTGGAGCATGGTGGAACCGATATTCATTGAATTAGAGGAGGGAAGGGAGGCTGTGGGAGCTGGCTGTGCTTGATGTCCTACAGGCACTGGCCCTGCAGGGCTCCTGCAGTGGCTGTGCCCTGGGGGACCATCAGGGAGGGTGTGCTTGGGAGTGTGCTGGGATCTCCTTCCTCTTCCACTTCCCCTAAGGGTGCTTGGTCCCATCTGCTGTGCTTGGCCATGGGCTCCAGGCAGTCTGACAGCACAGCTGTGCACCCCACACTCCCAGAGCAAATGTGTTTCAAAGCTCAGTGTAGCCTATTTTAGTTTACAGCGTGCCCTTCTGCTTTCAGCCCTTGCCAGAACCAGGAAATGGAGAAGCATATGCAAGAGAAAAGTAGTCAGTGGAAAATAAGTTATCCTAACCTTGAAGTTTTGACTAGATTTAGATGTGAAAAATTTCTTTTAGCTGAACAGCCTAGCTTCCATTTTTTAAGTATGTTTCTGTGCTCCCTTACCACCCCCCTCCTCCTGATACTATTTATTTGGTATTCCTCATTGCTTCTTGAAATAATTACTAATTTATTCAACAGCAACAACTTCAAATACCACTTGCTACAAAAACATACCAGAAAGTGTCCCTAAAGGCCCTTAATGTATACAAAACCCAATTCTGGCCTTCAGTTCTGCATCAGACTCTTTCCTGTTATTTGTAGACCATTCAAGGCTGTTGTTCCACTGTTTTATTTATTATTATGGAAAACTTGAAGGGCATTCATGGGGAAAGAATTGAATATGTACAGTAAGAAAGGATGTGGCTGTTAAAATGCAGTAATAGGAATTAGGCAGCACTATCAAGAATTATTATGTGACCTAGAATAAGTCAGTGTCTCCACTTTAAATGTCTCCATCTGTGAAGTGTGATTGTTTTCCTTTATCTGAGGTTTCACCAGGCTCACTGGTTATTATTGCAGTCATGTTCTGTGTGTTCTTTTTTTTTTTTCTAATAAGGAATGTTTTTGGCACAAAACACTGGCAGTTATTCTCTTTGATGGGAGAGCTTTTGAATGGTAAAGAGGAATTAGTTAGCAAAGGGGTTTAGTGTTCTAAAGGCCTGTCAGAACAGCAGATCCCTTATGGCTATTCACTATCTGCCCAGGGTGAAGGAAAGTTGGATTTGGCCTGATTTCTTGTGCCACCTCCAAACAAAAATCACAAAAGCAGATCGAAATAACGCAAGATAGTTGTATAACCCTCCTACTAAGGGAGAGGGAAGCTGCAGTGAAGTCATGTACAGCATGCATGGACCCTCCATGTGCTCTGTGTCCAGAGGTTGGGACAGCATAGGTAGCCAGACATGCACCTTGCTGCAAGCCTTGTTCAGCCTTCTCCCACTGGGGCTGCATTGTCACGGCAGGGACTGACTGGGATTGAGACCAGACCATCAGCTGGGAATGGTCTGGTAATGTCAAACAGTGGTTCCTGCTGTCCCTGCACTGGGAGCCCACGTTCAGACATCCTGTGGGCTGCCCGGACCAGATGTTTTTTTCTGCTGTGCTGTGCAGCGTGCTCTCACGGCTGCACTCAGGCACTGCCTTCCTGCACCCCTGCTATTCAGAAATCCTGGGAACAAAACCCAGGCCATGGTGTCTGTGCAGCAGAAAAGCAACTGGGCTCTGAACCTACAGGAGAAGCAGAAATTACCTTTGAAATAGCATTAGGCCACTCTGCAGAGAGACACAGGCACAGTCCTAAGAGCCAGGAAACACATTCCCATTGGAGCTCTAGCAGTTTCTCTTTGCATGGGTGTGACCCCTTTTCTGAGTTGTTCGTACTTATTTCCACATCAGCCAATGGGAATCACTTTTTCTCCACTGAGAGATCAGTGGATCTGTCTTCTCATTAACATTTCCACATAACTTTGAAATACTTCTGCAGGCAGAGCTAGTATGGTGCAATACTATTTGGTAGAAAAAACTTGACAAAGACAGGGCTCCACTCCTGTAAACAGAGTGCTGCTCTCATTATTCTTCCTTAGTAAAATAATGGCCCTCACAAAGGAAGTAAAACATGCCAAAACCAGCCTGAGAAACCTGTAAATAGCTTGCAATGGGAGCGTCTCCCACCCTCTGTCGGGCTACAAATTATTTTGCCCATGGCTTGCCAGGCATGCCGAAATGTCCCAGGTGAGTGAAGCTGTGCCATCAGCAGTCCCTACCTTACCTGAAAGCCAAAGGAGGCTGGCAGCTTTTCCCAGTTATGAGCCCCCTTCTGCCCCCTCAGTGAGATGCTGGGTCCCTTCGGGCTCAGGCAGATGGGATCTCCTGACACGCTCACAGTTACCCCTTCTCACCTGCACCAGGCAGGCATTCCAAATGTGCGTGTCAGCGGTGGGGATGTGTACCCAGAGCACAGCCCATCAGAGCCTAGAAGAGCACAGAGCAGAGGTCACAGTGAAATGCAGGCAGCACGGCAGGACCCTGCTCAGGCTGTGTGTACTGCCCAGAATTCATTTCAAGTCAGCCAACTGCAGTCATTTCGTTTTTAGCCTAAAATTCAGGACTACCTCAACTGAATTTCTTCATTCCAGGAGGCTGCACAACTGACATAATTTTGTTTTTTAAAAAGCTGCTTTAAAATTTGCTGGGCTGGTAAGAAGTCCTAATGCATAAACAGCCCAGGATGCTGGTGCATCTTGTTTGACAGAAGCAACAGCAGAATTCTTAGCTCATTAAAAATGTCCCAAATGGGTCAAGGAGCTTAGTCATCAAATCCCACCCTCTGGAGTGCCTAGGATGATGTACCTGAACCTGCAGAAAACTCAGCAGGGAGACCCACCTCACCAGAGACAACTTGAGAAGTCACAACAGCATGGTCATGGCCCACAGATGCCCCATGGCGTGTTTGTGGATAGCTCTGTGTGGCAGAAAACTGATCTGTCTGGCACTAATTCAGCACTGGCAGAGGGCACAACAGAGATGTCCTCATCTTTAAAGGAAGCTTTGCACCCACAACTTCTTTGGGGGGGGGGGGGGGGGGTACAATATCCACCCTCACTAGTGCTGGACATGTTCCCAGTAATTTGTTCATAATTTTGAAAGCTGAAGCACTTCTCATTTCACTAGCTGGTGTGGAACACATTGCAGTTTGAATGAGGAGGAGAAAAGACTGTCCTCTGATTTGACTGCATTGCACTTCTGATTGGTGTCTGAGGATCTAATAACTTCAGTGGACCAAGCTGGCCCTGGTTGGCTGTCAGAGCAAGGCTCTGAGCGAAGAACCATTTTTTAATCAATACGGAAGTGAAAGTGGCTGTGTTTTTACTTGCTTGGTTCTGGTACTACATGGCTTTTGCCACTTGGTGGGTTCCATGAGTGCATGAAGTTACCCTTGTGATATTTCCATCAGCTTGGTTTAAGAGAGGATTGACCATGACTGCAGAATCACTGGCTCTTCTGGAGACATGTACTCATTTAGATCAACCTGTGATTCAGGGTGAATCAGGTTCCCTTAGGGCTGAGGCCACACATAGCCTGTGTGGTGTGTTGATGCTCTGAAATTCTGGAAGGAACAAGAAGGCTCAGCTTATCAGCTGCACGCTGCTGGGATATCACAGCTTTCTACTAGGATGGATCAGTGGCTCTGTACCTCTAGGAACTTCATTAGACAAGACAGACAAGGCAGCACGCAGCATATAGTATATGACAGAAATTGCAGAAAGAGTGTAATGGTGGAAGGACATCCAAGCAGAAAATTTAAGAGAAGGGGTATAAGACAATATGAAGGATGCTCTTCCCAATTCTATTCATCATGGAAAAATGTTAAAAGAGTGGAATAGGCTGTAAACAGAGGGGGAGAGTGAAAAGGCAGAGCATAACTGTACACAAAATGCCTTTAGGGGCTTGCATGCAGGTACTGCAGGAAGAGAAGCCAATAGAAGTGTGTCATTCCACAAATACATGCAAGGATGACCTGGATAGTTTCAGCTGTGTGAGTTCAACTTGCTAACCAAGCATAATCGGAGAGAAAGTACAAACTAGCTGAGGCAATACTGTGAGCAACAGGGCTGGTGAGCGCAACTCAGACCACGCTCTCCAAAACCAAAGGTTCCGGCTTTGGTTCAGTGCCCCTTCCAATTGGTGCTGTCCAGCACACAGCACTGGAGTCATGCTGCTCCCTTGTGATGTACCAGGAATGAAGGTGTATTCTGTCTGTCTGCCGCAGGGAGTTGTGTAACCACCATACCTCTGTGTGTTCTTTCCCTGCAGATACCAATGTCATACGATACATCCAGCTGACAGAGATGAAGCTCAGCAGATGTTCCCAGAGAGAGAAGGAAACCTTGTGAAAATGAAGCCACTTCAGCTGAAGTGCCCTAGGGGGAACATTTCCTTCCTAGAAGCTCATTTGGTGGATTTTCCCATTTGCTCTGCCTCATCCTCATCTCCTCATCCATTCACTCTCCCTTGCTCTTCATTGAATACCAGTTTTGAAATGAAAGAGACTTGGACGCTGGATATGGCTGCTTGCCAACCATGGTAATACCCCTTCCCCGTGGCAAAAGAGCACAACAACTACAGCCAGCCTTGTTCCCAGACAGTGTCACACACCTGGAGTAGGCAATGCTGGGGGACCTGTCTGGTCCTGAACTGACTGCCTATTACCTATTAGGGAAACAACCCCCAGAACAACGACTTCCTGACCAGGCAAGTTGGAGACAGAGGGTTCCTGCTCTGAGTGATCACTGGAGCTTGGAAGAGCTAAGAAACCAAGAGAGCCACTGGTCATTCCACAGGGAACAGCAAATGCCTTTTTACCATCAGTTCCCTCTGCCTGCTTCTCCAGTGTGTGTTATTGGTCTTCAGTGAGAGCTCACATGCTCCCAGTCTAATGTCAGTGAAAACTGTTTCTAAACATCCTCTTGATGAAAGCACAGAGCACCCTATGAACCCCCTGCAGAGCTGTCCTGGTGCCAGAGGAGAAGGCTGTGGGCCACCACAGAGCGCTGAATGGACTGTGAAAGCATGGTGTACAGTGTGAGGGAAAAACTGTGAAATAATTCATTAAAGGCAAATAAAAATTATTCATAGGCAACAAGTCTGGGCATTGCTTTTCAAAGGAGCCTCTTCGGTTCCCCATGTCCAGACAGGCAACATTATGTAGGGAGGGGGCAGCACAGGGTGGGGAACAAGGGACGTCTCCATTCTTACCTTGGCTCTACCAATGCCTTGCTGTGTGATCTTGGGCAAGTCATTTTTAGCCTCTTGGTGCCTCGGTTTCCCTATCTGTACACTAGGGATAATACTACTTCCCTACCTCGCAGGGGTGTTGTGAGGATGTATCAGTTAATGTTTGTAAGTAACAGTACAGTGATGTACAGTGCTAAGTATTATTAGTACATTGGATTGAGGTCTTGATTCTCCCACCTTGTGTTGGTTCTTCCTGTGTCCTGGTTTTTTTTTTTCTTTTGTAGGAGAGTGTGGTGCTGATAACAGGGCAGGACCAACAGCTTTGGAGCCTATTTTGGCAGCCCAGAGGGCCTGTTTAGACCTTCTCCAGCAGTTTGGTCTTCTCTGAGAGCTCTGTTTCCTTGGCTCAAAGGTCCTTTTCTGAAACTGCCAATAATGGGATCAGTAAGTGCCACAAATATATTCTCAGTGTGACTTGCCCCAGCAGTGGCTCAAAGGGGCATGTTCCCAGTTGCAGGATATACATGAGTGGTTTCATCCCATGGTGGTCAGTGTCAAGTGACTGTAGCCAGAGTTATTTCACTTGGCCCTCACCTGAAACACAGAAACTGAAACAGAGCTAAACAGACAAAGTTTGGCCAAGTGCTGTGTGCTTTGGTTCCAGCAGACATGGTATCTGCAGCCAATTGGCATCTCACATTCCAGCTGTGGTATCTGGCCATATTTTTCTCCAGCCAAAATTCAAGAGAGTTGTTAGAGAAACATAAGAGAAAAGGGAAATTGAATATAAGCCAACAGTTTGCCCTAGCAGCCAGGAGAGCCAGCTATGTCCTGGGGTGCATCAGGCACAGCATTGCTAACTGGGCAAGGGAGGGGATTGTCCCGCTCTGCTCTGCACTGGGGCAGCCTCACCTTGAGTGCTGGGGGTAGTTTTGAGCACCACAATATAAAAATGGTACAAAGCTACTAGAGAGTGTCCAAAGGAGGGCTACAAAGATGGTCAAGGGCCTTGAGGGGAAGCTCTATAAAGAGTAGTTGAGATCACTTGGTCTGTTCAGCCTGGAGGAGACTGAGGGGGGACCTCATTGTTGCCTTTAACATCCGCACAACATGAAGCAGAGAGGCAGGCACTGATCTCTTTTCTCTAGTAACCAATGACAGGACCCAAGGCAACAGCATGAAGCTCTGTCAGGAGAGGTTTAAATTGGATATTAGGAAAAGGTTCTTCACCCAGAGGGTGTTTGGGCTCCCCAGGGAAGTGGTCACAGCACCAAGCCTGACAGAGTTTAAGAAACTTTTGGACAATGCTCTCAGGCACATGGTGTGACTCTTGGAATTGCCTTCTGTTGGACCAGGAGTTGGACTTGATGATGTTTGTGGGTGCATTCTAGCTCAGGATGTTTATGATTCTATAATTTTATGAAATCTCTGTCTTTGTCTCTGAAAAAAACTTCAGTTGTATTATTTAGTACAGGAATACATCCAGCTCACATTGTGGGTGGGGAAGACACCATCTAAAAGTCGCATATAAGTCCCTGAAATAAGACAGACTTACCTCAGTTGTGTAGAACTTAAGATCAACTGAGGTGGCACCAGAAGTTCATGTTACTCAGGTGGGAGATGGAGAGCAGCTGCTTCCCAAAATCAGGAACAGTGTGCAGCTACTGTAAAGGAAAGGGCTGCTGGAGACAGCACAGCCACCTTCTTCAGATGGCCCTTGGTTCACACATCTGGGTCACAAATAGCAAGCATCCCTGCCCATCACTACAGATATCTAAGCAATAAATGGAACTATAGCTGCTACGAAGATGATTTAAAGACAGAGAGGATAAATGAGGGAAATTCTGTAAGTGGTTGTTAACCAGAGCAGAAAATAAAGGTTAGGCAGAGATGTGCTTGGGTGCATGTAAGATGTACCTAATATTGCATAAAAGACAGTGTTAGTAAGGTTCTGGTTCTCAGGCACATGCAGTATTCTATCTCCTAAATATACCACAGCACACAAAAAAATTCAAAGAGAGGTGACTCTCCCCTACTTCATATTGCTGATGACAGTTCATCCTGCAGCCACATGTGTCTCTTCACTAGGAGTGAAATGAGGATTCATGCTGCAGGCAATGCAGAAGAGGACACCACCTACGCAAACAGTCTCTGCCCCAGGAAAGCTCATGCAAGCAGAGGCAGGCTTGTTACTCATGACCTTAATGTAAGAGAAAGGGCATTCTCCAGCCACTGGAGATGTAGGGCCATGACTGTCATTTTGTCTGGGAACAATTTTAGCCCTCACAGTGGCTTCACTGACGTACTGTCACTGCATCAGTGCCATGTATATTGTAATATAAAAAGGGCACAGCAGGCTCCAGTCTCCTCAGTTTTAAGCATCTTTCCCTCCAGGAGCACTGCAAAGGGTAGAGGGAAGTTTTTGAATGTGCATAAGAAAAATATTTCAGAGAGCCTCCAGGTGCTACACAACAACCTATTTTCTTTCAGAAAACTGTTGTCCTTACATACACTGACAGCCAGGGCACCTGTAAACAGTAACACTCGCACTAGAGGCTGGAAGAAGGAAGTCACCATGAGAGGGAACAGAGTTGGGGACTGTTTTATGCAGTGACACTGAGTTTGAGAGAATTATGGACATACCTTTTCCAGTGAGTGGTCCTTAGCAGCCAGATGTAGAGGTGTAGGCAGAGGCCACCCTGGGTAAACTCTTTGTACACCCTTTTTACACCCTCTTTGTAACCCAAGTTACAAAGACCTTGTTGTAGGGAGTTGGAGCCACATTGTTGGAGGTAGCCGTGTCCACTACAAGTTGATGGTATGTTTCTGCAGAGCAGTCAAATAGCAATGGGAAGGTACACATCCTGGAACCCCAAAAAAGTAAACAAAGCTTTAGCTCAGCCAGGTGGTGAATCTGTATGTCAACATGCAGTACACAGGGGAATGAACACAGACCTCTACCTATACCTAGCAGGGCTAAGATGTCCTCAGTGCAATGAGAAGTGAGCCCATTAATCCACCTCATGGTAAAACAGCAGGAACAAAATGGCAGGTGCCAGGCAGAGCAGTAGGACAGCAAGCAGGAAATGAGGTTGAAAGGAGAGGGATGAGATGATCATGGGATGCAAAATATGAGCCAAACCCAGGTTCATGGGCAGAATGATAATTGAACTAGAAAAAAAGTGACCAAAGGCTTAGACACACTATTTGCAGTTCATAACAGGACCCAGTTTTGGCACGATACACAGCAGGGAAAAAAGACAGCAAGACTAGATGTGATTTTTCCACTTGGAGGGGGCAAAAGAGGGGGAGGCTTCCTTCCTGCTGCACAATCATTTTTGAAAGTGCAAAGAGAGGACAAACAGATGCTGGCTGTGGAAATTTTCCAAATATGTGTTAGCAGTTGCTGTTGGTAAAGGTGGCTTGAACAGGGTGGAGAAATCTTTGTTTAAACTAGGGAAAGGGTATGACTACTTTCTGGAACGAATGGGAAACAAAGGTCTGGATATTCTTGCTTACTAGTGAAATCCAGGAGCCTCTAAGATGAAAAGGAGAGTCCTGAGTGCAGAGCAACTCCTTTAGTTGTGCATCTCCATTTAGCTTCCCCAGAATTCCTCTGCAAGCCTCATCTGTGTAAATGTTACCCCCAAAATACATTGAGTAGACCCAGGAGTGGCTGTGTTCTCATGCTTCACAGCACATCTCCAGAGGGTTTATCTGCACTGTTTTGTTTATGCTCAGTCCCATGATGATACCTTTTTGATTTGCTTTTTTCCTAGGAGCAGGAGAAGGGAAAGGTGAGGGTATACACTGGGTGAAGGTGAAATCAGACTAAATTCACACAGGTCCTGCTGATTATCCATCTTCTCTGGTTGTTTATTCACCTTTCCTCCTGCACCCTGAATGACGGTGATGCTCTTCCCAAGTTTCTATGGTGAAATTTCTTGATCTGCACAGTATTTTAAAGGCTTGGGCAGGAGTTGCTTAAATAAGGAGGAACAGTGGTGAGCTAACATGCCTGCCAGGTGGGATGCTTGGGAGGGTGCAGTAAATGATAAGGTTTCTTAATACTATCCATGTATTTGCATAACCAGTTACTAAGATCACTTCAGCTGGTAAGAAGTGGATTCCGTAGATTGTTCTTGAGGAGTTCCTAGGTTACTAAGGTACTGCAGGCTGTACCACCCTCCCCCACCAACAACAGCTTTGATGCTGCCTCAGTGAAGGTGACGAAAAGACAAGGCACTGTTGTGGCTCCTCCCACAAGCTGCAATTGAAGGAAGGTAAATTCATGCATTCATGATAAGAACATAAGAAGAAACCCGTGGCAGTATGTAACTTTGAGGCAGTTAGGAGCTTGTGAGATGGAACGGCATATAGGTGGTCCCACAGATGTAGGGAAGGGAAAACCTTCCCTCTCCTTTGCTTCCCAGACACAAGTGCTCCGCTGTCACAGCACAGGCCAGCTCAAACTGTTCAGTCCAGAGAACTGTACCTACAGAAACTCTTTTCAGTAACAGTTGTGATTGAAATCAGGAAATAAATAGACTGTGTAGTACCCAGGAAATTACCTTCTTACTCTACCTTCATGCTCACTCCTTGTCCTTTGGAAAGCATCTGTTGTTAGATGACAAACAAGGGGGCATATATGACAATATTCAGCCACGGCCACGGTGAATGAAGCTGCTCTCCAAGAGAGGCTTCACAGGCCCTACCACAGCCTCCTTTTTTCCTTTACTGCCAGCCAAGTCTTATACATAGCAGCAGGTCTGCAAAACCTACTTCCACAGCTTTTCCTTCCACAGGGCTCCCCTTCACCAGATTTTGCCTGGAGGGAACATGAGCCCGTGCCAGCTGGTAGCTACCTCTGGCAGCTCCCCATCACTGGTTAGGAAATAATTTGTA